TTGACTAAAGTATCTAAAATATATATTATGAGTATGAAAACTAATAAAACATTATTTACAAAATTGTATATACTATCAGTATATAATTATGAAAAATAAGCCTATTTTCAATCTGCATTTATAATTTCACTATGTACATGCATTTGTATGTTTTGAAGTTTGAATTTGAATAGGCACATTGTCATATTAAATACACATTCCAAATTTTAGCGCACTGATATAACACCTCTAATTAATCAGTATTAATAGTAATACCAGACAGTCCAGTCAGATAACTTGTCATTTTATTTTTTTATTATTCCAATTTTATCTTTTCTGCCTGGATGGCAACTTACAAATTCTGAAATTACATCCTGTTCATCTACCTTGTCTAACATGTCTCGGTGCACATGCATGACCATTGCATTGTTGAGCCTTAACTGGGTCGTGCTGGGTCGGGGGGGGCACTCCATATATATTGCATGGTAGGTATGTGCCGCGGGAGAGACCCCCATTTTCAACCCTAACCCTAAACTTCCGTTCCAGTGCATCGCATTTTTAAGAATATCTCGTTCCAGACCATATCTCGTTCTAGTTACCATGCAGATCTTACATTTTTGCCGTTCCGGAGACCCTAGTTTTTAATATTTCCGTTCCAGTGCATCGTACTTCAGAATACGTTGAAGCCGGGCTAAATAAATGTGTGCTCACGGCAAGCTAGCAGCTGTGTTAGCAGCTATTTTAGCTGTGTTGCCATCGTGTTCCTGATGATAAGGAAGCGAAACAAGTGCTGTTACTCTGCTTACCTAATATCCCCAACAGCCCCCAGCGTCCCGTAGTTACAACCTGGTGCTGCCGCCGCATATCAACATGCGCCGAATACATGCAAACATTTGGGAAAACTATGTGAAACCGTGTCGTATTCACAGAACTTTTTTGAAGAACACATACGATTTTCAGGTAAATTGGTGGTGTCATATGATAAAGTTAATAATAAAGATACGTAAGGTAAAGTTTGAATATATTTATTCACATAGTGATAAATAGAATATTTACAAGTTGAAAACTATGCAAAACGCTGTTAAAACGGTGTCATACTCTTCTCTATTATGAGCTCTTGATATATATGTATGCATGTAGCATTGTAATCGGCTGATATTGTGAATTACATTTTTTGTATTTAACATTTGTTGCACAGGTTGTAATGCTGGTCTGTTCAAGGTGCTGGTGCTTAAGAGATCCGGCAGAACAGTAAGTTAGCATCTCTCTAGGACTTCCGGTAATGGCACCCAGTGAATAAGACGTGTTATACATCGGCTCCCATATATTTTGAGAAAGTTAAAGGAAAAGTATCAAAAAAATCGACATATTATGCGTGGAGCTAAGCAGTAGGTCTCGAAAAAATCCATGCACAACTACGTGACGAGGCAAAACAAGGAACGAAAAGAGACAGTGGATATTTCTATGAACGCTGAACTCGGCACTTCAGTTAGCATGGCTACTGCAATGGTCTCACAACGATGAAGCCGGTGCCGAGGTCACGAACGCGGAGCTGCGAGAACTCATCGTCGGCCTAAAGGCAAGTCTGAATAACAAATTAGAAGCGGGGTTTTCCGACGTCACAGAGAAGATCACCACTTTAACCGAAAAAATGGAAAACCTAGAGATGGAGGTCGACTCGGTTAAAAAAAACCAGAACAGAGATCGAGCACAGCTACAAAATTTAACACAAGAAGTCGAAACACTCAAGCAGTCGTTCCTCCATACGCAAGTCCACAGCAGAAAGTACACCCTCCTTATCTATGGAGTCGAGAGATACGAAAATGAACCAGCACGCACTATAGAATTTAGAAAGAATACACACTTTTGCAGTGGATGACCTAACACTGGAAGAACAATACGCGATGAATTTATCAATCCGCAACGCGCATCGCCTAAAGAAACGGGACAACAGCCCCACACCGATAATCGTCGTTTTCGGATACTGAACCGAGAGAGAAACCTTTCTACGCACGGGGAGAAACCTAGCCGGAATTGATAAGAGCATCAGAACAGATTTGTGTCACGCGAAATCACACAAAGCCTGACGAAATTCTCGCGTTCGCTCCCGTTGCGCAGTTTATGTAAATGGCTGTCAGAATCAGGAACCACCCACCGGCGCTCTTCGTGACCTCATTTTTGCGCCGCAACGCTGCAACGTTTTTGCAATGCTCCACTGGCGAGGCTTGTACGGGAGTTGGAAAGCAGCGTGGTAGTTTCCCAAAATGCAGTGCGCCGCCTATAGCCCTGTACTTGCAGCCATTTACATAAACTGCGCAACGGGAACAAACGCGAGAATTTTGTCAGGCTTTGTCTGATTTCGCATGACACAGCTCGGTTACTAACACAGACAGTATGTTTTTATAATAAGTGAACACTGTTCTTCAAATAGAAACATTTGAAGATGGAGTAGAATGGTTGAATATTTGTGTTGTATTCGAGTGAAATCAAGCGAGCGTCGAGCGAATTTTGGCAGCACGCT